TTGCCGTAGGCATAGCCCTGCCACGTGTCGCCTCCTGGTGGCTCCTGAGCGTATCTATGCCGACGGCTTTGCCGTAGGCATAGTTTTTTTTTTATATTCCCTGTTTTCTCTTTTCCAATTCATTTGATAACATTTCAAAATAGAATAATATGAAATATGACAGTTCATCAACATCATTTAAACATAGTCCACCTCCACCAAAACCACCACCTCCGCCAAGTCCACCTTCGCCAAAACCACCACCAAGTCCACCTCCGCCAAAACCGCCACCGCCAAGTCCTCCTCCGCCAAAACCGCCACCGCGACCACCATCACTCTGCCAGATCGGAGTGACTGGGGTCGACGGAGCAGGAGTCGAGCCACCGGTCCCCTACATGTTTGAAAGAAGATTCTAACGGTAAATATGACATGATAGTGTTGAATGAACGAGAACTAGTTTGTCATTAGTTAGGCAAATTTACTAACCGGAGTATCACCGCCTAGTGCCAGCCATTCCTCGAACGTGGGAATGTGTGGGGCGTCTCCCGCAGGTGGTGGTGGGGGTCCAACTTGTGGTGGCTCCGTGCGGTTAGTCCAAGACACCAACATAGCCTGGATGTTAGTTAAACAAGTCCACTTAGAAACAAGCCGTGATCAACAAAGTCAGAAGGAATGAAAGTGCAAATTTGAGCTTGGTTTAAGAGGGCAAAACTAACCGCCATCACTTGACGGCTGTAATCATCGTTTGCCTTCACTCGTTGCAAGTACTCCCTCACCTCAATATGCCTATGCTCGAGAAAGGCCTGATATGCCTACAAAATTGAGGTTGTTTCTAAGTGGGTAGTGATGAAAATAAACTAAGAAAGATAGAGACAAAGAAGATAAGGGGAAGTACTTACAGCACGTTGGCGGACTAAGGGAGGCTGCGAACGCCCCGTACTCTCTAACGGGCTCGGGTTGGTAGCTCGAAGCCGTGTGTACGAGATCGATGGAGTGACCAAGCCATCGAAACACGGATACCGGCCATGGGACTTACCCTGGATGGCCACCACCGCTGTGTCGTCGATCTGTGACTGGGCGACCTCAGGAACGGGAACATCCGGATGCAACTTCTGATAGTTCTGAGTGTAAGACTCCAGGTGTTTCTCGGTGTTGCCGTAGTACTGGCTCTCGCCCTCCTTGCGATCACTCCGCTCGCGGGCCAGCTTCCACGACTCCATGTCTGAGAGCGGCCTCTGCAACTTGTCCTCCTGCAACGTCAAACAGAAGTTAGCCATACATAAGAACATGACGGTAAAGAAGAACCAAAATGCATCTTTCATATAGATATACCTTCATGGCCTTGAAGCCCCAGTGGTTCCTGTTTCCTTGGCCGTGTGTCCCGTCTTTTCCACGGTTAGCCCGGGCCTTGATGCTCTTGGCAACAAACTCTGGATCGTCACCGACCCACCTATCCACCAAACACGCCCATCCGTCATGCCTTCCATAGCACCAACGAGGAACAGCCTATGCAAATTTTGGAAGCATGACATGTGAGCACGAAACATATAGTTGACTCCTTGGAACAATGAAAAGTCAGTAATAGTTACCATCATGAACTGCTCCCTGCTCATGGTAATTTTTTGCCTCTGTGCTTGAGTTTTGGTCATCTTTTGTTGCAGGTAGATGTGATAGTACTGTGAGACGGCAACCCAACGCACCGCGTACTGCAACTGACGAGCTTTCTTCTTTGCAGACGCAAGTAAGACCATGTCGGCTCTGGCCTTGTGCTCATCAAGAATTCTATAGAGTTGCTGCAATCATGCATAAACCAGAAGCAAATAAGGCACGATTTGAGTGATTCAATGATAAACTATGAACGAAACTAAAGACAAGTGATTCAAAAGGGAACTTACCCAAAATTTGGTGATCACGGCCTTAGCGGCCGTCCCGTACTCCGCGTTGCTGCAAGCCTCGTAGTGGGCCCAGCTTGTGGCCAAAACACACAGCTGTGGGTCCCTGTCTGGCCGCGGGCAGAATAGGCCAGGCCAAAACTGCTTCAACAGGACAGTGAGAAGGCCCTTCGGTTTACGGCCCTTTCCATGAAGGATCCAGTTACTGCAAAAGAATCAAAGGGTTGCCATGTGTACAATAAAAAAATGTTGTCATGTGTTGAAAGTATGATTGAGATGCACTTACTCTGTCCCCGCAGGTTCAATGAGCCACTTGTGCGCCTCGATAGAAGGTGCTGTAGGTACTCCGACATTACCACGCAGCCACCCCTGCGGAGCACCCGGTGGCAAGTCACCCCACAACTCGGGGTCAACCTCCCCTCCACCCTCCTCGCCCTCCTCGGCCTCCTCCTCCTCGGCCTCCTCCTCCTCACCCTCCTCCTCCTCGACATCAGGAATATACTCCTCCTCCTCAGACTCAGAAGCTGCATCAGCATAGGAGGGCATCGAAGAAGACCCTCCTATTTCGGACACGGCCCGGAGTTTTTTGGCCCGGTTGCCTCTTCCCCCACCTCCTCGTCCCCTAGGGGCTCTCCCCCCACCCCCTCCTCCTCTAGGGTCTCCTCCCCCGACCCCTCCACCTCCCTGTGAGGTGCCATCCTCGCGTAGTCGGGAGGGAACCTTGTGGGCTCGTCCACTCCGAGTAAGTCCTCCTTTGAGTTTACTGAGGAAACTGGCACCGCTGGACTTGCCCATGAT